GGAAAAGAAAACTAACAGATTCAATGAAACAGCAATACTAATACTACAGGATAATTATGTAAATAGGAAAATAATGAAATATATATACAAATATTTATACAGAGCCATTATCAAATCCTCACCCCACCCCCCCCCAAATGACAATTACATCACCAGAGGCTCTGTGGAGCAGGGCACTGGAAAAATCCCAGTCCAGACCCAGCAGCAGGTGGGAGCAGGTTGCAGGAACTGGATTCAGGAACACATGGATTGGGGTCAAAGGCAGATGAACTAGCAGGGTTCAGCTCGAACATTGGCCGTGGCAGAAGGGGAAGAACAGAGCTTGACCCGTAGCTTTATACTGAGTATGACGTATGTGGGATGGAATAGCTTGTTTGGTCAGTTTTGGGTCATCTGTCCTGTCTGCTCCTCCCCGCAAGTGCTACACCTTACTTATAACACCCCAATACAGCACCCATTTTGTGGCGGGGGGCCTGGTCTCCCATTTTGTGGCGGTGGCCATGGTCTCCACAGGCACAAGTATAAGCAAGAGTCATATTTACAATACCATACCTAATAGTAATTATAAACATCAAGCACTATCACTTGTAGAAATGAACACTGTCTGAAAAAATATGCTGTTAGTTTCAGAAAGTACAGTCACTTAGAAGAGACTTAACTGAAAAGTAAAATAACCAAATAGTTCTATTCAGCTCGAACCAGGACAACTACTCTAGATGACTGAAGAGCTCAAACTGTCTGTTTCTTTGTACTTTAAGTACAATTTTCTTTTGTGTTACTTGATGTTAGGAATAGTAATGTGGCTTGGTTTTTGCTGTACAAATACCTACAACATAATTTCAGAAGGTGCTCTTACTTCATGGAAGTACAGGCCATCATGACAAACTCTCATTATGTGATCTCTAAATTATTTATCTTTCTGTATCTCATTAAAAAATACACTCATAGTGTAATTTGATAGTGCCTTTTTTGTTCAGGGATTAAAAAAAAAAGGCCTAACAACTCAAGTTCTTTATATCTGCTAATAGCAACATTAGAGGAAATGGTTTCACTTTGGTTGTGATTGGTATTTACATTTAAATTTGTTAGCATTTAAATTGTCAGTCCCAATTACACATTTCCTATTGAAGTGGATGAGGTGTTGGATTAAAATTCACACTTTTCCTCTCCCTCCCACATTAGTGACATCAGATAACTTTTAATTGGGTGGTTATTACTAGCTACACAAGAGTTAGAGAAAGCAGAATAATCTGAATAAGGCCACAGTGTCAGTCATCACAAAACTGATGGGAGGGGAGCTTAGTAAATTGGACTGTGTTGTAAATAATTATAGAAAATGCATGTGGAAGTTTCTGTACAGCATTGCTTTAGCAATCAGTGCTGCCAAGTCCTCAAAACTTGACAGAGAAAAATTTTCTGCATTAGCTGTTCCATGTTGGGTGCTATTTCATGTCTCCTGACAGCTAAGACTAAAAGGAAGTAAAAGTGGGAGAGATTTCTCCTTGCCCAGTTGCTAGCAGTTTAGGAAAGGATATTGTCTTCTGTGTAGCAGTTAGAAGGGGTTTTTTTTAAGCTGTTTTATATGGCTGCACATATTTCTTGTAAAGAATCCTGTGCAGCCACTGCAAGATATTACTGTTATTCCTGGAGACTCTGAACAGCTCTTTAAATTCCAGTTTCTTTCTTAAACAATTTTCAACTGTTTTACTGTTTATAATGTGATTTTAATCTTGACCATGTAAATGGTTTTAGCTTGGTTGTTTTCAGTATATGTTTGCAATGTGTTAAGAGTTCCAAATGCTTTTTGAACTCCAGCATAGTTGGGTAAAACATCAATATACCCTTGAGCTATTATTTAAATAATGTTTATCTTAAAAATACTTTGAAAGGTGAAGTTAGCAAGCTACTAAGATCCTTTTCTAAATGAGACCAAGGCTGAATTTTTTCAAAGTATTTATGTTAAGGTTGTTCTAGTTATCTTATTTCCCACGTTTACTTTAAAAAAAAATATCCCTGAATGGGGGCATTTTTCTGTCAGTTGTAGTAATGGAAAGCTTCCCAAACTGCATGAGAGCAGTAGTCAATCAGTAAAATATAAGTGGCAATGTTCTGTCACTGCCAGTATCCAGTATCAACAGATTCAAAGGAGGAATAAAGTAATCTGTGCTAGAAAACTATATTCTGTCCCAAGGGAGATTCCCCCCCCTAAACCCTGTAAGTGAAATGTTTTATGCTCTATAGTATAATAGATCTGAAAGAGTCAATTCTTCCTGAAAGTATTTATTATAGTAACTGGATATTCTTAGTTGCCAAAAGTCTAATAATTTTTCAGTCTTAAATTTCTCAACTCAGCAATATCACAAGAAAATGACTTCTACACCATAATCGTACGTTTTGGGTGTTGTGGTTTAGGGCTGGGCTGGCCACTAAATCCTGGACAGACGCTCGATACTCTATATTAACCCCTCTCCCCTCCCCAGAAGGGACGAGAAAGAGAATAAGGGAGAGAGACTTTACAGGTTGGAAAAGAAAGCTAACAGATTTAAAGAAACAATAATACTAATACTACAGGATAATAATGTAAATAGGGAAAAATAATGAAATATATACAAATATGTACAAATATTTATATAAAACCAATATAAAATCTTCTCCCAATGACGATTGCATCACCAGAGGCTCTGTGGAGCAGGGCACTGGAAAAGTCCCAGACCGGACCCAGCAGCAGGTGGGAGCTGATGCAGGAACTGAATTCAAGAACACACGAATCAGGATTGGAGACAGACAAACTGGCAGGGTTCTGCTCGGACTTCGGCCATCCCAGGAGGAGAAAAGAGCAGAGGGAAGAGAAGGGGTTGAGACCCTTGTGATCCCTCATCTTTATACAGAGTATGACATATGTGGGATGGAATACCTAGTTGGTCAGTTTTGGGTGATCTGTCCTGTCTGCTTCTCCCCACAGGTGCGGATACAGCACCCATAGTGAGACAGTGGCCTTGCCATGTTTACATAACATACAAGCACTGTCACTTGTAGAAGTGAACACTGTCTGGAAAAACATGCCGTTAGTTTCAGCAAGTACAGCCACTTAGAAGAGACTGAGCTGAAAAGTAAAATCACTGAATAGAAAATTAGTTCTATTTAGCTCAAACCAGGACAGTGGGATAAGTACATTGGGCACCAGTCTGATACAAATAATAGATTTTATACAATTGATAAACATGCTATTTTTGAAAATAAGAAAATTGGAGATAAGGTGAGCTAAAGCTGCTAATTTAGAAATTGGAAAAATAATATACATCTAAATACATTATTTCATAGCTTAGTAGTTAATTGCACTAGTGCTTCTTAAGTTATAAGGAAGTTTTGGCTAGACTGTCTTGGGAGAATTTATATGCTAACACTGTTCTGGGAAAGATAATTTTTAAATGGTTTGCTGATAGTCTCTTAGTATGTATGAAAAAGCTTATATTTCAAGTCATAGCTTTTATATACATCCCCTAAAAATGTGGGAAATAAAGTTAAAGGGCTTGTTTTCATAATTGGAGCAAATGGAATTTGTGTGGGAAAAGAGAGGGAATATGAAGCAAAGGGATATGAGAGATGTGCTGAATCCTCTGTTGACCTGCAATTCCTTGAAGACTGGAGTGGGTGAAATTCCTTGGATAAAAGTATAAAATGCAATTATTGCTCTGTGCTCTTGGTAAGAATGGCAATAAAACTTTGTAGATTATTTTCACTATTTAAATACCCTTCTTTCCCAATTTTGATGTTAACATCCTTATTTCTATTGAGTAATGAATAGACATTGAATATGCATCATCAGTTTAAATTACCTAGTAGAAAACTTTGATCCAGAAGGCAGGAAATCCATCCTAACATTTTTTAGACATGATAAAAAGCCTGGGAAAGATAAATTTGGTGCAAGCAGCCCTGGATGCCTTGGGTTCAGATCTATAGGACTGACTGACACCATAGCTATGATTGCATTATGCTTATAAAGATGAATCATTGTTTTATGAATGAGGAATAGTGTGTTACCTGATTATTCCACCTAGTAAATGTTCTTGCTGTTTAATACTTGATAGCAAAAGACTTTTCTTAACTGCTTGGTTATGATGAATCTAGTGGCGTTCGGCACGTACGTAGAATGTTTCACCCAGGCCGGGGTTTGGGAGGCCCCCGTGCACGTAGATCAAACATGCACTTTACTAGCAGTTCCACTGGTGGGCTTTCATCTTCTCAGAGTTCATATTCTCCAAGCAATAGAGAAACCATGGATCCTATAGCTGGTAAGAGCTGTAACCGCTGTAACCACTGATTTTAGTTCAGAGTCTTCTAAGTAGACTTTGAAAAAAAATCCAAGATGATAATAGTTTCCTTGTTTTTCTGTGTTTTGAAAACAAACAAACAAAAAATAGCTTCCCAATGTCATAATTGATGGATCTTTACTGATGAAAATTATCCTTAATTGGATTGTCTACAGGGATTGAACCTGGGACTTCTGAAATGAAAAACACTGCCCCTTTAGCTTGTGCTTTTAAATTTAGAGACTTCTAGGCTCATTCCCATGACTGACCTGTCCACAGGTGGTATCAAAGAATGGTTGAGGTTAGAAGGGACCTTTCAAGATAATCTAGTCCATACATCCCCATCCTTCAAGCAGGGCAACCTAGAGCAGTTTGCCCAGGACCATGTCTAGTCAGGTTTTGAATATCTCCACAGATGGATTCCACAACCTCTCTGGGCAACCTGTTACAGTGTTTGACCACCCTCACAGTAAAAAGTATTTTCTTGAGGTCAGATAGATTTAATTTGTTTTAATTTGTGCCCATTGCCTCTTGCCTTGTCAGTGGGCAGTACAGAGAAGAGTCTGGCTCCCTTTCCTTCATTCCCCCCCCATCAGGTGTTTATATACACTGATAAGATTCCTCCCCTTTCAGCCTTCTCTCTTCCACGCTGAAGATTCCCAGGTCTCTTAACTTCTCCTTATATATGTATATATCTATTTTTAAATGTAATTGTTTCTAAACACCATTATGTACTTCAGTGCATCTGGTTTTAATTTGCTGTGTGCACATAGGTGTTAGAAATGAATCTTTTCTTTCTCTCTTTTTTTTTTAAGGGTTTTTTTTTTAGCAAAAACCAAGTGCTGTACTTGAGTTCACCAAGATGGAATTGTTTCAATTGGAATATTATTGATAGACATTTAAAATATACTCAGTTTACTTTGACATGACAGCTTGGATGACAGGCTTGCTGACTTTTAAGAGGTCTTTTAACTCTTAAAATTCTTAAATAACTGTATTTTAATAAGCATTTTACATAGAGCTGAGCGACAGCCCTTCCTTAAGGTTGTGTAAGGGGAAGGTAAGCCTGAGTTCAACCTCGAGCTGACTGACACAAGAAACTCACAAGATGGAGACTGCAGATTATCATCTGTAGATTATCATCTGCTCCTACTATTTCACATAGGGTCCAATGATACTGTGACAAGGCAACTTGGAACTGTCAAAAGAGACTATATGTTCCTCAGAGCAGTGTTAAAAGGATCTGGAGCACAGGTTGTGTTCTCTATCCTTCCAGTCAGAGGAAGGGGTCCAGGAAGGAGAAGAATTGAACAGATGAATGCCTGGCTGCATGACTGGTGCCATACTCAAGGTTTTGGTTTCTATGATCATGGGATCTACCTTTGAGAAGCTGGGTCTGTTTGGAGCCGATGAGATTCACCTGACCAAGTGGGCCAAGAGGGGCTTTACCAACAAGCTGGCCAGACACAAGGAGAGCTTTAAACTTGATTTAGTTGGGGAAGGGGCTGGAGTTTTGAGCACCAGACAAGAGCCAGGGGCTGCTGATGTATTAGGAACCAACAGGGAAACACCTGTGTAAAGCCTCAAAGGAATTAGAATATGTTTCTCTAAAAAGGTGGCAAGGCCCAGCTGAAGTGCCTCTATACCAATGCACACAGCATGGGTAACAAAGAGGGGGAGCTAGAAGCCACTGTGCAGCTAGAAAGCTATGATGTAATAGCTATTGCTGAAACACGGTAAGATGAATCGCACGACTGGAGTGCTGCAATTGATGGCTTGATGGCTGTAAACTGTTCAGAAGCAACAGGCAAGGAAGGAGGGGTGGCAGGGGAGTTGCCCTCTATGTAAAAAAAAAAAAAGGACTGACTGCTTTGTTGGGGTTTTTTTGGTGTTTTGTTTTGTTTTGGTTTTGGGTTTTTTTAAATGAACAGTTTAAGAGCTTATAGGTAAAATTAGGGGCCAAGCCAACAAAAGAAACATTGTGGGGTTGGTGTTTACTACAGGCTACCTGGTCAAGGGGAGCCTGTTGACAATGTGTTCTTACTTCAACAGGAAGCATCATGCTTGCAGGATCTGATCCTGCTGGGGGACTTCAGTCACCCTGACATCTACTGGAAAATTTGGCTAATTTTTTAATCTGGATGATAGACAGCCTGACCAGAGGAGAAGGGTTACTAGATCTGTTACTTACCAACACAGATGAACTAATTGGAGAGGTCAAGATTTGTGGCAGCCTGGGCCACAGTGATCATGCCCTTGTGGAATTCACAGTCTTGAGGGCTATGGGCCAGGTGAAGAGTAGAGTCAGGACTCTGAATTTTAGGAGAGCAAACTTTTAGTTGTTTAAGGGACTAGTGGGTCTGACCTCCTGGGAGACTGCCCTCAGGGACAAAGGAGCTTCACAGAGCTAGCAGCTCTTTAAGGACATTTTTCTTAGAGCACAAGACCTTTCGATTCCCATGTTTAAGAAATTGAGCAAGGAAGGCTGTGTCCAAAGAATTTCAGTCAATGGCTCAATGTCCAAGTGGAAGCCAGTAACAAGTCATGTCCCTCAAGGATCCATACTAGTACTGAGACTGTGTTTAATATCTTCATCAATTATGTAGACAGTGGGATTGAGTGCATCCTCAGCAAGTTTGCAAGCAACACCAAGCTGTGTCGTGTGGTTGGCATGCCTGAGGGAGGGGATACCTTCTAGAGGGACACTGACAGGCTTGAGGAGTGGGTTCGTGGGAACCTCATGAAGTTCAACAAGGCCAAGTCCTGCATCCAGTGTGTATCCAGCTCTGGGGTCACCAGTGCAAGAAAGACATGGACCTGATAGAGCAGGTCTGGAGGAGGGCCACAAAAATGATCAGAGGGCTGGAACACCTCTCTGAAAAAAAGGCTGAGAGAGTTGGGGTTGTTCAGCCTGGAGAAGAGAAGGCTCTGGGGGGGACCTTATTCTGGCCTTTCAGTATATAAAGGGGGCTTATAAGAAAGACAGAGACTTTTTATCAGGGCATGTAGTGACAGGACAAGGGGCAATGGTTTTAAGCTGTAAAAGGTTAGTTTTAGATTGGACAAAAGGAAGAAATTTTTTTACAATGAGGGTGGTGAGACACTGGGACAGGTTGCCCAGGGAAGTTGTGTATGCCCCATCCCTGGAAGTGTTCAAAGCCAGGTTGGATGGGGCTTTGAGAACAGCCTGGTCTAGTGGGAGATGTCCCTGCCCATGGCAGGCGAGTTGGACTAGATGATCTTAAAGGTCCCTTCCAACCTAAACCATTCTTTGCTTTGTGTGTTGTATTTTGGTCAGGTTTATGAGAATTTTCATGGGGAAGATGTCTCATTTTTAGCTTCCAACAGTCACATGGGCATGTTTTTAGGATTTACAGATATAATCTGTAAGTATTTTTTCAACTTTCTTTTCAAGAATAAGTTCTCTATAAAGAGGTAAAAATAAAAATTGACCCAGTCGTTTTTTAAGAGCCCTAATGTAAAATCTTAAGACATCAATCTTACACTTGTATAGTGAAAGATGGCGTCAGGGAAACTTCAGAACTTCCTGCAATTATCTAAGTTCCTGCTATTTGCATTTGCTTCAGATCCTGGAAGGGCATGAATGTTTAAACTGGAGCTTCTTATTGTTATACTGTGATTCCATGAGAGGCAGTGAACCAACTTGAGAGCATTGCTTTTGAAAGAGGAAGCTACAGCTCTACCCCCCTACCCCCCTACCCTACGTTCCGTAGGCATAGTTCCTTGGCCTCTGTTGTGCCATCTGCTCTTCAGGCCCTCTGTGTGCTGATTTAACTCATTGAAATGGCAGAAAAATAATTAAAAATATTAGTTTGGAATTGACCTATGCAGGTTGTCTATTTCCAACCCCTTTCTCAAAGGAAGTCTATTTAGATCAGGTTGTTCAGGTTGCTAAAGGCCTCATTCAGTTGAGTTTTGAATGCCTCCAAGAACAGAGATCATGCAACCTCGCTAAGCAACCTGTTCTAGTATTTAAAATCCTTCATGTTTTAAAAGGAGGGAGTGGGAGAGATACAAAAACTAAAATCCTTTGGATGTAATTGGAATATCCTGTGTTCCCTTGTCTGACTTGTCCTATTGCTGTATGCCTCTGAGAGGTGTCTAGCTTAGTCTTCTCTGTATCTTTGAATCAGGTAGATTCAGACAGCAATAAAATATCTTCCAAAGTATTCTTTTCCAGGCTGAACAAACTCAGTTCTCCTGCTCTTTCCTCATGTTCTGGCCTATTGATCATTTTAGTGGCCCTCCACTGAACATAATCCATTATGTTCATGTGTCTCTTGTCCTGGGGAGCCTAAAAATGGACACAGCGCTCTGGATGTGGCTTCGCCAGTTGCCAAACAGAGGGGAAGAATTTTTCTGTCCTCTTAGTGAGTTAAGTTAGGTTGTGGGTCTATAAAGCACTAGTTTGGTGCAAGAAGGGAGGATGTTTGTGTGTCCTGGAGAGCAAGACTTCCTCTTGCCATTACAGTGAGTTCAGCTGAGTGAAATGTGAAGTGGCTGTCTTGGTTTGTTTCACCCTCACAAGGCCTTCCTCTTTAGGAGCATGTTTAATAAAATTGTATTCCTTTGAGTCTTGTCATTTGGGGGTTTTTTGGGGTTTTTTTTTGGTGGAGGTAATATGTTTTTTGCATCCAGAGAATGTAGTACAGCCTGGCTGGCTGGCTGTGTCATGCCAAGCCTTGTGTTTCAAATTCACATCTTCTACCAGGGTTCTGTTAAGCTGTACTCAAAGTGATCTTACAAACAGTGAAGATAAATACGTATCTTACCTGGCAGTGTTATATGTCTTCCGTTGTATTAGAGTAATAATTAGTACATACTACCAGAAGTTAGAACTTGTGCTTGTAACAGACCTGTAAACATTACTTATTTCTTTTTCTCCTTGTGGTGGTTATCAGTAATTAGTGAAAATATTATTGATAGTTAATCTTGTTATGATTAGTTGTGCTGATTAAAAGTGATGAGCATTTACTGTTGCCATTCCAAGTGTTCCTGATGCAAAGAGCTACTGTATATTGCTTTATTTCCCTAAGAAAAGCCTAGTTTCAAAGGATTCTATCTTGAAAGTAAGATGGAAGGAAAAACTTTTATGACCTGTGATGATAACTTGCAGCTTTAATGAGGGTTGGATGGATAGGAGAAAAAAATAATCTACTTCTGCTCTCCTTAAATCAAACACAACAAAGCAGTGTTTACAACTTTGTGTGGAATACAATCTGTAGTAAATCACTGAGCAATAACTTATTAATGTATGTTTTGGGAAATGCTTAGCATGGACAGAATTTGTCACAGTCTTGAACTTTGGAGGAAAGGAATCCAGGCTAGATTGATTGATTGATTGGTTTATTGTTAGAATTTCTCTTTTTTCTAGTAGAGGTCTAAAGTCTCATAAAAAAGCCCTCCTGTGGTCAAATATTTTTCATATAATACAACATCTGAAAAACCTTTCTGAACTCAATATTTTCTAAAAATGTCTGGAATTATTCTGTAATATTTGTCTTTTCTGCAGCACAGCTTCCCTCTGGAATGCCCATTGAGGTGCATGGGGGAATATAAAGCCACCAACTGAAGTCAGAATTGAAGTGGTTTCTTAGTCGATAACTATTTTGACTTGAAGATAAAATTTTAGAGATTTGTTACACAGGATATTGCTTATATGGTATTCCCCATAGGTTGACTTTTACTGGTTTAGAAAGCTTTAAGCTTTGACTCTCTTACTTAGGCACAGTTCTTTATTCTAGATGATTCTTAATCTACTTACCCTATGGGCTTTGAGACATGGGACGCTTGTAATGGATAGCCTGTGAAGCTTTTCAAACCAATACAATTTGTTCATTAATTTCATTGATAATATGTTTTAGAAAGCAAAGGAATTGATATACTGGTATTCAGGACATATTTATGCTGTTGTGTGATATATATTGAAGCAGATTTCACTGTAGAAACTTTTTTTTCTTCTGGCAGAGCTTTTATCTCAGTTATCAGGCGTGAGACGTTCTGCAGGGCAGCTCAATTCTTCTGGCCCTTCTGCTTCTCAGTTACAGCAGCTGCAGATGCAACTGCAGTTGGAACGACAGCATGCACAGGCAGCAAGACAGCAACTGGAGACTGCACGCAATGCAACTAGACGCACTAACGCAAGCAGTATCCCCACCACTCTTACACAGTCTATAGTAGCAACCAATACATCTAACACAGAAAACAATCAGCAGACTGTACAGAATTCCCAGTTTCTTCTTACAAGGTAACTTGTCCTGTGATTTTTAACTCTTCTGCCATTTCTGTTTTCCTTGGTACTGTTATGGACATAGAGTTCAGTGAAACTACTGCCAGATCCCTAATGAAGCTTGTAGTTGAGATACTATGCTTTTGTTTGCATTTGTGATATCTCCTTTTCAACCCTGCTGTGTGTTTGTTCCTAGGCAATGAATAAATATTACTTGCTGTTTCTCAGTTTGAAGAGAAACATAAGGGATATTACTTTGGTAAACTGTGCTTATTTACCGTAATACTTCTGATAAAACTCTATCTCTGAAAGAGTCTTTACAATAACATGTTTCAACCTTTTATGCTTGATAATGTGAGGGGAGAGAACTTAAAGAGTAGTTTTATTTAATAGGAAATAAATCTTTAATGAAGGCTGAAGGTTTAATAAAGGTTTATAAAATCATAGAATCATTATGGTTGGAAAAGACCTTTGAGATCATCTAGCCCAACCGTTAACTAACTCTACCATGCCCACTTCTAAACCATGTCCCTTTTATATAAAGTATTTTGGAAGAAAAAAGCAAATAAGGAATGTGCTATTAATAAGCAGTACACATGTCTGTTTCAGAAAGTATAGTTAGATCCTAGAGTTCTATAGAATAAATAGTTCAGTTGGAAGGAACCTACAACAATCATCTAGTCCATTCTGCAATAGAAGAGTTGCCCACTCTCATTCCAGCTCTTTTAGGAGGTTTAGAATATTGATTTTCTGGATTCAAAGAGGATTGTGTGGTTTTGGTTTTTTTCAATTACATGTTGAGAAAGAGCACAAGCATTTAAACAGTTTCTGTGTCTAGAAACCTAGGTTGGGACAAATTATTGCTGTAATGCTGATTTTTTATCAAAACTTTTTGAAAATAATGACTTTAATGAAAGTATCTGCAAATGTCAGTCACTGATCTTGTGAGGTAGGACAGAACTGGAGCAAGCAATTTCCTTGCTTCTATTAGGTGATGATGCATGCACTGATAAGTGAAGTGAATTATGTACTGTGCTTTGGAAGTCTCTAGGCATTATGTATGTAGTAATGTATTTTGTGTCATGCTTGCATTTAGAAGTTGTCCTGGGGCCAAAATGAGCAATTAAAGGATGACTAAAGAATTTTGACACCCCTTAAAACAAAACCCCTCTGAAGGGAAAGAAACTTCAGAAATAGCTATTTTTTTCTTCCAGCCTTAGAATCCACTAAGAAGTTTTTTGCAGCATCTAGGAACAAGTTTGTTAAATAGTCTGTATTCTTGCATCAGGAGTGCCAGGTGTTGTCAGATCTGTACATGTTAAAAGAAGTGCAGCAGTACCTAGGTTGTTTCTCAAAGGGAATGGCTTTCAGATGTTATTCAGCATGTGTCTGTCCAGCTGTTTAGGCAATTAGTGAAAGCCCATTTTGTTGATGATACTACTAAGCCTGTCTTCTCTCTCTCTGTGATGCTATGCAGGTTGAATGATCTGAAGATGTCAGAAGCAGAGCGTCAGTCAAAGGAAAGTGAACGGGCAGACCGCAGCTTGTTTGTTCAAGAGCTTCTACTGTCCACTTTGATGCAGGAAGGAAGTTCCTCCTCTGATGAGGATGAACGGGGAGAGATTGCTGATTTTGGTTCTATGGGCTGTGTAGATATTATGCCTCTAGATGTTGCTTTAGAAAACCTAAATTTAAAAGAGAATAATAAAGGTAATGAGCCTCCTCTTTGATGGCATCCCATTGTGCAGACAGTGTTCTCTGTGCTGTATTTGCCAATGAAAGTGGACAACAACTATCTTGGGTTTGTTTTGGTGATTGTAATTTCAGGTCTGTCATTCTTGTTACATTGTGTACATTCAAAGGAAGAGAGAAAAGATATATACGATAATCATTTCCACTTAACCAATTTTTACTTTTAGCAGGTAAAATATAGGTTGCAGTGCGGAGAAAAAAAGCTCTGCATCCTGTAGCTTGACGTGCAAAAAGCCCTCCTAATACTCCACATTCAAACTGAAGAGGAAAAAATGAAAAATCTCTAATGAAGCTGCTGTGTGTATTTATGAATATTAATGAATAAAAATTGCTTGGATGGTTTACCTTAACTACTGCATGACTTTTTTTTTTCTTCTTCTTCAGCGTGCATGAGTTTTAGTGACCTTGTCATTTAAAAAATGTAAGTACAAGGAGTAAAACTATAAAACCCTAAAACTTTCCCATTATTCAAAGGTAATGTGAAAGAAAAAATTAATGCTCACAAGCAGTTTGTGGCTGTGAAGTAGCCTTTGAGTAACACATGACCAATGACCTTTTTATGTGCTCTCCTTGCATATTAATGCAAACTCTGCAGTGGGCTATATTTTCGCTTCCAGAGCGTTATGTTTTGCTATATTGTGACCACTATGCTGCCCTGTTAGACATCATATCCATGTGGAATTGAACTTTGTATTCATCTGTAGGAGACAAAAAACCAGGACCACTACTAGAATCTACCACAAAGGGCTTCTGTGTGCCCTAAAACCAAATTTTGTTCGCCTTAAAATTTTCTTTTTTGTGTTAAATATACTTTATTTAGTTGTAAACAATTCACTGATTCACTGTCAGGGGGGAGAGAGGGGAAATTAATCTGGATTATGTTCTCTTAGTTCTAAGCCTCCACAGTCCTTAAAATTTTGAGTATTATTTATGTATTTGCTTTATAGTTTGTAGAGACTCCTTAGTATCAGGAGTGCCTGAGGATTTGACTTCCAGATATCTCCATACGTTACAATTGAATTCTTAATACTAACTTCCTATCAACCTTTATTTATTGGGGTTTTGGGTTATATTTCTGACATAAAAAATAAAGCCTTTTTAATTGAGTCATGCTACCTAATTGCCTATGCTGTTAATCCTATAAGGGTTTTTTTTGTATGGATTACTATAATAGCCCCAAAGCAAGGGACAGCAACAGTTTAGTTATTTGGAATGTAAAGTTTAGCTTATAAAGATAAAAATGCATACAACTTCTGAAAATTAAAAACCTGATTATGGTCCTAAGAGAATTGTGGTAGGTATGTTAATCTAAGATAACAGCAACAAAAGCAGCTACTCCATAGGTTGACATTTGAGTTCCATTCTAATTTTCTCAATTCTCAGATTCTGATTGTTTCCATTTAGTACTGAATTAGCATTTTTCTTTTAGTCTCTGCAACAGAAAATGTTTTAAGAGAACTTTTTAGTCTTCTGGTTATCTTAGGAGTTACCATCAACAAAGATTCATTTTTAATTGATTGTTGAGGATATTAAAAAAAATCAAACTGTAGTCTTTTTGGATACCTCTTCTGCACATCACAAAATGACTCAGTTCAATAAAGCATTTTAAGGGCTGTAGTTCAGTTGATTCTTTGGTGATTATGTATTACCCAGATAACTGTAGAATAAATTCTGGAATTAAACTGTTCTTCACAACTGTATGCAAAGGCATTTCATGGTGAAACCCTGTGTGATTTACATAAACACTTTTTAAAAAGTGCATATTCTGTGCAGTGCATGTAGCAGTGATTAAGCATGTAATCTTATAGCTTCATAGGTATGTGCATTGAATTTCTAGAAAAGACTTGTTCAAAAACAGTATCTTAATGAATATTATTTTTTATTTAAAATCTATATATAGCTTATATATAGCATTCTATTGAGAATGCGGACATTACGGGGTTTGCAAATTCCATTCTGCTTTTACAAAAAGCACTTGGAAAGCCTGTGAACTCACTGTCCATGTTTATTATTAGAATCTGAGTATCTGCTGGCTTACATTTAAAATTAAATTTAGTTACTGCATTAACTCCTCTAAGAATCACAAGTGTGTCAGATTTTGTTAGCTTAGAAAAACTGCCAAACAGCAACTGGGAGAGTGTTGTTCTAGTATTCTGCTGATGAGTATTTGCAGGGAAATGCTCTTCTTTGAAAAAAAAAAGAATTATATTTTTGTTATTTTCAAAATATTGATGTTTATTTTCATAATGCTGTGGGCTATAGTGAAAATAGCTATTGTGAACTTTTCAAGGGGAGCTGGGAGGGGATATCGCATAACTTCCTACCTTAAGACCAGTGCCTCACAAAAGAGGGCCCTAGCATTTGGCATACTTAACATACACAAGAAGTCTGTTCAATACTGTGCATTTGTGTGACAGAAGTCTGTTTTCCCAAAAATGTGGTACAGCCTGTGACAATCTTTGCAGAGAGGCTATATCTATGAATAGAGAGCACATCTGGAATTTGGTGTGCTCTCCTATGAATTTGCACCTCAGAGTTCAGACATGGTTTGCTTCTGCTTCCTCTGTTTAATCAGCCACAAATCTGTATGTTTTAATTTAATAGGTAAAGCAAAAGCTGTGTGCACAAGCAAAGCAAAAGAAGGAATTCATTTACTCCATCTCATTGACAGGCAGATATTTAGCCATTTCCAGGAAAGCAGGGCTTCATTACATGTAATGATTTCTTGGGAAGACAAATGCCATAACTCCTAACTCCTTCCTCCTCCTTCCCTAGCTTTTATTGCTAAACATGACATCATATGGTATGGAATATACCATTGGTTAGTTAGGGTCAGCTGTCATGGCTGTGTCCCCTCCCAACTTCTTGTGCACCCTCAGCCTACTTGCTGGCAGAGCAGAGGGAGAAACAGAAAGCCTTGACACTATGTAAGCAATGGTTTAATCCTGGCCGGCAACTAAGCAACACACAGCTGCTCACTCACTCCCTGCACAGTGGGATGGGGGGGAAGAATAGGAAGGGCAAAAGTGAGAAAATGCATAGGTTGAGAAAAAAACCCACTTTAATATTTTTTTTTAATGTAAGAAAAATAAAACCAAATCAACAAAGAGAGAGGAAAATAAAGCCTAAGAAAAACAAGTGATGCAAGAGAAAACAATTGATTACCACCAACTGACCAATGCCTGGACACACCCTGAGCAATGGCAGCCCCTGCCAACCTCCACCCCACCAGTTTTATTGCTGAGAACAATGTCATATGGTATGGAAAAACCCTTTGGGTGGTTGGGGTCAGGTGTCTCAGCTGTGTCCCCTACCAACTTCTTGTACACTCCCAGCCTACTCACTGATGGGGCAGTCTGAGGAGCAGGAAAGGCTGTGTCTCTGTGTAAGCACTGCTCAGAAATAACTGAAACATCTGTGTGTTATGGACACTTTGTTACAAATCCAAAACATAGCCCCATACAAGCTACTGTGAAGAATTTTAACTCTATCCTAGACAAAACCAGTACAATCTCCACCCCTAATTCCATACCATTTACATCATGCTCAGGTCCCACACTAGCTAATACATCCTCATTAACCGCCGCTCCCCTTCCCATCCTTTGATACATTCACAGATATTATTCCCTTAGTCTATGGACTACTCCTGTAAAATGTCTACTGAGTTAATTTAGTCCATGACTTTGGGCTCTGTCTGTTATGGTGGTCACTCAGGACAGGAGAGTTAGTGTGTTGCATGTAGTTATTGGGCACCAAAGCCAGCTCAGATCTGGTCACTGCTGCACTTGCACTGCTTCTTGTGAGGCTTGTTCTCCATTGGTTTACGGGTGGTTCCTGCTATAGTAGTTCCTATAACATGCAACTCAAATAATGAGTTACAATAATTTAAAAGTGTATCTATTATGTTCCTCACCCTGGTCCCTTTGGACTAGGCCTTAAGTTTTAAAATTGCAATGAATTTCTTCTCTTGACTCTAGCTTGGCAGGATTCCTGCTATAATACCTTTGACATATGGCAATCACAGCAATGGTGACATAGAGATTCATATAATACTGCTATCATACAATTCAAATCACAGGCTATTTTCACCCACGATTAAATCACATTAAGGAACACATTGGACTCCCCTATCTTTCTGCATTACCCAGCAAGTGCACCCAGATCCTTGAGCAAAAGCAGTCCCACAAATGTGTTTGCCTTTTCCTGAGGAAGGAATAACCCAGATTGTTTTTTCCAGCCAGTTCTTTATATATACTACGGGGACCTTACCTCTTTCCACAGTGCGCAGGGGTTTTGACTGGGCAGGGCCAGGTCGACTGGCAGATCCTCTAGTGTTAGCTAGCCAAGTGGCTTCTGCTAAATGTGTATCCCAGTCCTTGAATGTCCCAGCACCCATTGCTCTCAGTGTAGTTTTTAACAGTCCGTTGTATCGTTCAATTTTCCCGGAGGCTGTTGCATAATAGGGGTTGTGATACACCCAGTCAGTGCCATTCCTTGGCCCAGGTGTTTATGAGGTTGATTTGGAAATGAGTCCTGTTGTCTGATTCAATTGTTTCGGTGGTGCCATGTCACCATAAAACTTGCTTTTCAAAGCTCAAGGTAGTATTCCAGGCAGGGGTATGGGTCACAGGGTATATTTCCAAGCATCCAGTAGTCACTTCCACCATTGTGAGCACATGGTGCTTGCCATGGCAGGTTCGTGGTAGCGTGATATAATCTATCTGCCAGGCTTCCTCATATTGATATTGATATTTCAGCTATCATCCTCTATATCAAAAAGGCTTTAGCTGCTTGGCTTGTTTGATTATGGCACACATTTTGCATTCATGGATAACCTGTGCAATGGTGTCAATGATCTCTTTAAACATCCAGTTCAACACCAGTAATCGGAGTGCTAGAAGGAGCTGTATTTCAGTACCAATTACTTCTGAAGCAGCTCGAACTCCTTCATGCGCTGCTAGTAGATACCTCTTTCTCAGTTGGAGTGTAGCGGGCTTCAGATCCTCTGTATTTTCGACTCCAAAATCCTAGGGGTCGACCTCAAGTCTCCCCTTGTCCTTTCTGCCAGGGACTCCAGGTAGGACCATTCTCCCCAGCTGCAGTGTAGAGCACATTTCTAACATCTGGTCCTGTTTGGACTGGACCAAGGGATACCGCATATACAATCTCTCTTAATTTGTTCAAAGGCTTGTTGCTCAGGACCCTATTTGAAATCATTCTTCTTCCGGGTAACTTGATGGAGCAGCCTTACAATCTCACTGTAATTTGGAATGTGCATTTTCCAAAAACCTACAGTCCCTAAGAAGGCTTGTGTCTCTTTTTTGTTAGTTGGTGAAGACATAGCTGTTAT